GCCTCGCGGATGCCTTTGGTGCCATTGGTACCCACGAACAGGATGCAGCCAAAGGCAGAGACCGGAGTCGCTGTCCGCGCCCAGTGCCCGAGCAGCGCTGGACTGTCTCAGGGGGCTTTGTGGCAGCGATCCGGTTCCAATCCGGATTCTGTGCAGCGCCGGGCACAATGACCTCCCGCCCTCAGAGGCAGAGCAGGTCTCTTAGAAGGCGCTGGAGGGGCGGCGCCCAGTGCAAGGGGCCCGGGGCAGGGCGGGGGCTGTGCTCACAGGGGTAGTCACGAGCGCACCGCAGGCAGGTGTGTGGGGCCAGGCAGGCACCGTGAGGTGATTGTAACCAGCCATGAGCCGGGCCTGTTCTTTCGGCGCTGTCCTGCCTGGCTCTTTACGGCCGCCAGGGGGCGCCCCGGACTTGGCCGTCGGCGCCTCTCACGGGACATTAGCTGCGTCTCTCCAGCACAGCGTCACAGACCGATTGACAGAAGGTGCCCCTGGGGAGCTCAGCACCGTGAGACGGGCGGGCGGGAGAGGAGGTGGCCCCCGGGAGAGGCGGGTCTATCGCTCGAAGGCGGGATTGACATTTAATGCCGTTGAAGGGAGAATTCTGTGACAATCCACCAACGTTTCCCAGGAATAAGAAGATGATTTTATGCTGCGAAATGCTTTGCCCCTTGGCTTTACAGCTCTGCCTGCTGCTTGGGCGCCCAGGTGAGACATCTTCACTTGATGAATTTATTAGATTATGGAATCAACACGGGACCTAAACGCTACGGAATTGCTGTTGTGACAGGGGAGGGTTTCAAAAGGCCCTGAAGAGAGTTGGGCGCCACATTCCTTGTGGTCACACAACACCTAACAAGAACACAGAATATTCAATGAGACCAAGAAACTTCTTTTTATTTTTCTGGAAGAAACCTTTGTCCTCCGGCAAAAACAAACTAAAAACCCTTCCCCCAGTAAAAAACAAACAAACAAAAAAAAAACAACCCGTTGATTTACCCCAGGAAGGCAGGTTATGTATAAACATTACAGACATAGAAGTAAAAGAAGGAAGATCCTTTAATTATATTTTCCTCCCCTTCACAGGAATGATTCGGGCGGATTCTGTGTCTCAGTCTCCCGGGGAGGTGACAATCTCGGAGGGACAGGACGCGCTATTGCACTGCAATTTCACCACCATTTCTACAAGCCCGACTCTCTTCTGGTACCGCCAATATCCGAATCAGGAGCCCCAGCACGTCCTGACCGCGTACAAATCCGCTGATGCGCAGAACACGTTCGCCGCCGAGCGACTCTCCGCGGTGCTGTTCGACCAGAACCGGACGGTTCCCCTGCGGGTGGCGGCCGCGTCGCTCCCGGACGGGGCGGTGTATCTCTGCGCCCTGAGACCCACAGCGGGCGGAGCCGCATCCCCGGCGCTACAAGAATCTAGCGAGGTGGCTGCGCTCCCCTCTGGGGGCAGAAGCGGGTTTGTGCCCGGGCCTTTTCATGCCGCTTCCCTGCCCGGTTCAGTCCCTCTGATCACCCCCAGCCTGGGAGGATCCGCGCGTTTCACTCTCCCCATGTAGTCTGAAATGTCCGTCCGTCCGTGTGTGTGTGTGTACATGTGGTGTGTGTGTATGTGTGTGTCTGTGAAGATGTGGTCTGTATGTGTATGGAGATGTGTGCAGGGTGGCTCTTTGTGCGCGTGTGTGTTTGTGTGTGTGTAGATGCGGGAGACGTTTGTGACTGCGTGTGTGCGGTGTGTGTCTGAAGATGCGGGGGATGTTTGTGAGTGTGTATGTGAGTGTGTGGTGTGTTTCTCTGTGTAGCTGTTCTCTTCCTGTGTGGGGGTGTGTGTGACGTTCTGTGTGCGTGTGTCTCTGTGTGTGTAGATGTGTGTGTGGGGGGGGGGGGGAATAATCGCTGGACAGCACAGAGAGAGAACGCAGTTTGCACAGTGACCGCTGTCCTCCCAGCTCAGGAAGGGGTGCGGGGGTTAATCGCAGACTTCCCAAAAAATCTCCCCTGAAGACTCCTCCCACCTGCCACACCTGAAACACAGTTAAATACGCTGGTATAGCTGAGTGCTATTTGATAGGGCTACCGTTTTGACGCGGATAGAGGCATATGGGGATCCACAATGAAGAGAAAACCTCAGTGCTGATTGATTTTTGTAAAAGGAAACCGTTAGATCCTTTGCATTAAGATAATAAAAGGCCAAAAGAACGGGGTCTGTGCAGGTTTTGTGCAAAGGAGCGTCCCCTGCCGGTGACAAGTGTAAATACGCGTTGTCGTTGGAAACACTGTTATGGTTTTCATGATCTGAGGGCCGAAGGAGAGGGCACAGACGGAGACTTGCCCTCGCTCACAATTCCTCCCAGAAATGGGACTAACTCTTTTTCCATGGTTATCTCTGGGAAATCCCAGCACTAATTCCGGAGAGATATTTCCACGTCCTTTCCTGAACCCCACAATCTTTGTTCAGGGCCTCAGCGTGGCTGTCTTCACACCCCACGTTCGGGGCAGAGAAATCGTATGTCATAGCCAGGAAACCCAAGGAGCAGGAGTCAGGGGAAGGCCGGAAATTGAACCTCACTCCAAACCACTTCGTACAAGCCCAGCCCAGACTAACCCGAATCCAGCCTATTTCCGGAACCTCTGCGCAGTCCATTCCCCCTCCCCTCAGCTCCGCTCCTCCAGCCCGGGCTCTCTTCACCTTCGTCCCCCCTCCGCTTCCCCCCTCCCCCCGTTGTAGCTTCCTGCAGAGACGGCTTCGCAGCCGGCTCCGAGAGGCTCAGAGCTGGTGCGGGCGGCGACACCATGCGGACGCGCTGGGCGCTCACCCTTTGGCTGTTCCATCTCCTGGGTGAGCGCGGCGGGAGCTTTGGGCTGTTCGGGGTCGGGCTGCAATGGCCCCTGAGGCTCGTTCTTTTCCTCACCCGCCTTCTCACCTTCACTCTGCCCCCGACCCCTAATCCTCCTCCTAGCGCCGAGCGCCGATTGCGACCTGAGCCGTGAACCCGAGCCCTGCCCCTACTTCTAAACCCAACCGGGTCCGATTCCCTTTCCAGCGAGCAGCCTCGATCCGCAGGTTCCTTTCTCCCCTCAGTGCGCCTCGCTCCGCGCCCAGGGCCAGGCGCAGCTGGGATCTGTCCTTACCGGAGACTCTCTTCTTGCAGGGGCTGGGCTGGGGGACTCGGTCGAGCCCCGCGAACTCCAAGTGCCTGGAGCAGAAGGAGCCTCGGTGACACTCTCCTGCCAGCCCCTACTGGTACCGGCAGTACCCGAACCGGGCCCCGCAGTACCTGCTCTGGAGAGGAGCCGGGTCCGTCAGCCAGCTCAGCGACACGGCAGAGTTCGCCAAGGGCAGGTTCACGTCCCAGGCCGATGACAACTCCACAGCG